TTTTTTGTCTTCCTTCGCTTCCCTCAGTAGCTTTGATCTTCCCTCCACTGTGCTTTCCTCCTTACAGTCATCTTCAAAGACAGACTTTATAGTTTTTCTGGTTATTTTACTGGTTAGCCAGAGCTTTCCCCTGTGACTTAAGAAAACAGGCAGCCAAACGTGCCAGAATTTGGTGCATCATCTCCACAACTATTCAGTACAGCGATTGTCTTGAGGATTCAGAACAGACACTGTCGGTTTTGAACTTACATTTGCTTTGAGGCCTTGATGAATCAAGAGTTCATAGCAGGTGTGCTGACTGCCTCTACTGAAAGTCTTTCAGAGAACACCATCATCTCATACTTATTGTGTATTCCTGTAGAAAACAAAGTCAAGGCTTTAATGAACTAATTGATCATTGCAGGAGAATGAGATTTTAACAGAACAAGAAGAACTGCTGGCCATGGAGCAGTTTCTGCGGAGACAGATTGCCTCGGAGAAGGAAGAAATAGATCGCCTTCGAGCGGAAATAGCCGAAATACAAAGGTAAAAGGGAGACTGCTTACATCAGAGCCCCTGCCAGGCAAGCACTCTGATTAAAAGTACATATATGCTCTTCTTAATTATACTCTAAACTACACTTAAAAGCTCACGCTATGAACATCACCTTTGAAAACCACTTCTTTTTATTGAAATCTCAGCAACCATGGACCTTTCAGGGTCGTTTTTGTTAGCATAACAATGGAATTATGATCTAAAGAAAACTAGACCCTGTGCACTAAAAATATCCCCCCAGGGAATCACTGGTTTATCAAATTGAGCCTGGAAAGAAAATTCTGATTTTGTTTTTAAAACCATTGCAGATTATTCAGTGGATGTAAATTAGCTCTTTTACGCTGCTGTAGTTCTGGCAGACTCAAGGAGGTGTTTAAATTGGAGTTTGTCACATTGGTCTTTCAGTCGCCAGCAGCATGGCCGAAGCGAAACCGAGGAATATTCTTCCGAGAGTGAAAGCGAGAGTGAAGATGAGGAGGAACTGCAGGTCATCCTGGAAGATTTGCAGAGGCAGAACGAGGAACTGGAGGTAGGATCTGAGTCTTAGTACTTTCTTCCTTAGTGGTTACTCGACTTAGTCTGTGCAGAGATGTTTGCGCACGATAGTTTTGCATCTGTTTTGCCCGGGCATGACACCCACACCCTGTTTTTAAATCACTGTTGTGTGCGAGTCCACGTTGCTGTCTGGGTTAAGAGCAAGGCTTCATTGTGCCATGCTAAACAGCCCCCTAGCTACAGCGATTCTTTGCCAGAAGGAGCCTGACGTTTGTTTTCCTTGCTTAAAAGATAAAGAACAATCACCTGAACCAAGCGATTCACGAGGAGCGAGAGGCCATCATAGAACTGCGCGTGCAGCTTCGACTGCTGCAGCGGGCTAAATCGGAGCAGCAGGTGCAGGAAGAAGAGGAGCCAGAAAAACGTGGGGGTGTTTCTCAGCAGCAAAGAGACAGTGTCCTGGAGACAAAAGCAGCCAAAGAGCAGCCAAAAGCAAGCAAGGAGCAGCAAGTCAAGCCATCGCCAAGTAAAGACAGGAAAGAAACTCCAATTTGATCCAGCTCCTTGAATACGCATAAAATCAACTGAACTGTGCAAATTACTGTAATTTGAGTCAAACTGCACAAATTATTGCTGGCTGTGTACATTCTGTAAAGAAACTTTTCTTTTAAGCCCTGGAGACTTTTGTCTCTAATCCTTGTGGCTTCTACTCATCAGACTCAGGTGAGTTTGGAGAGGCCAGAAGAGTTTTCCAGTTAGTATCAGATTATTTCAAGACTGGTTTCCTTCAGGTGATTTAAAATAATTCAGTAACAGTTTTATTTTTAACCAAAATCATTATTTACATTCATTGGAGCAGAATTGGAAGATCTCATTTTCAGTGAATAAACAAAAACTCACCCACACTTACTAATTATTTGCCTTGTGAATCTCTTCATGCTCATTCACCATTCTTTTGGCTTATTAACCTAGTCACTTCTTGCTTGTGCCTTTGATACCTTTCTGATGCAGATTATATACAAGGGAGCTTTAAATTTATTCTGGGTTGGCTGAAAAGTTGGGAGACTGCAGGGTATCGTGTTTACCTAACATGCCCTTAAGCTTCATTTTTGTTCCGAGATGTACTGAATAAATGTAGAAACTGGAGAGATGCTATTTATGTCCCTGTATGATGGAAATATCAAGAGCTGTTCGTGTCTTTTAGCAACATCAGTAACCCATTTGCTCATTATAAGCCACAGTCATCGTACCTGTTTGAGATAGGCTGTGTTCACACCGTTGCCATCTAGCCAAGAGCTTTTTCTTCATCCATTTTAAGTGTTGCAGTCCCTTGGAGAAAGCCACTGACAGATGCTTTAGGCAGTGATGGGGATGGCTTATGGCAGTTGACAGAGATCTGCCTGACCAAGCAATACAGCGTTTCCCTCTGCAGAGATGCAAGTCGCACGTGCTTTCCAAATCAGCCTGAAGAACGATGCCAGCTGGAGGCACTAGGGGTTCAGCAATAGCCTCTTTTTGTTCTTCAAAAAAACAACCACCACCTGGGACTTGCTTTTGGTTTGGCTGTTTTACTGCCTCTGCCTGTCCAGAGCCTCCAGCCATGCTGGCATTTAAGGGCCATTTAATGTTTCAGACATGCTCATGAAAATCATCCGTCAACTCTCATATAGACAGCGAACTCCACGGAGTGCATATAGCCTATCTTATTTTTTAATCTGGATATTTATTTTCAGCACCTGTTGGATGTGGTTGTATTCTTTATCTATTGCACTGTTGTGAATCATTGGCCATGATTTGATTTTGTACAAATAATGCTTTGATATGTTATAGAAAACAGCATAGTATTTTTTTAAAATTTGGAAAAAAAGTTTATAAACACAGAAAATGTGGTCAGATGACAAATGTAAACTAAAGCATCCTCCCTTGCCTTCGTTACATACATTTTATATTTGCTGGCAATATTTAAACCTTTTTTTTTGTTTGTTTAATTCACACTAATTCCTATTGAATTGTCGTGGATTTTTCTAATGTTCTTCAGACAAATCTCTTAATATTGGTTAACTTTTATTTTGTTAGGATTGTATTTATCAAGCAAATAAATTCAACAGCCATTTGAAAGCAGTTTCTAATTTATCTACTTCATAATGTACAATGTCTTTTTCTAATGCAAACAATACTTACTCTTCGTGTGTAGCTACTTGCAGTTTAGAAATTTATATGAAAAACAGCACTCTAAATAGCTCTACTCTAAAAGGACACTGCCTGCAACAATGCCGTAGAAAGCTTCCGTAACTTAGCTGAAGATCAAGTTTAATTTGGTCAAATTAAAGATTGTAAGACTTTGCTTCTCTATTACTATGAGACATTTCAGCTGCAAAGGCAAAATCCATCCTCTTTCACCCCGTGACTTCCAACACACCGACACCTTTCTTCCTCCTTACAAGTTCTTCCTCCTTACAACGCACTTGAAGTGTGTCACCATTGAAGTCTTAAATGGAGGTGGAATTGCTGCTCCTGTGGTAACACAGCAGCTGTAACTGGAAATTAGATTCAAAACACCTGAAAGAGGTTTCTTTGAAATTTCCTTTCGTATTCTTTCAAATGATAATGTCCAGTGATAAGCACAGTTACTGATGAGAGTCAAGCTGGCCAAATCAAACGCACACCAATGGCACTGAAGCCTGATTCCCCCCCCCCCCCCCAGGAAGTCCTGGGGCAGGTGGCTCAGGCAGTGATGGCTTCTGAGCTGGGGGTCAAACCACCCCCTTGCAAGAGCACCAGGGGAGGCTGTGCCTCAGCCCCGCTCCTCCACCCGGCCCTGCCCAAAGCAGGTGGGGCCAAGCCCTCCGCAGGGTCAGGCTGACCTCTGGGCAGGGGTCTGGCTGCCCCCGAGCCCAGCAGCAGCAGCAGCACCACCCCAGCACCGGCGCTCGTGGTGCTGGCGGTGAAAGTCACGCTGGCAGCAGCGATCTGACAGGCCGCATGCAGCAGTTGGGAATAACGAGCCAAGAAAGCCAAACCTAATTTCAAATGGAGAGTAACTACGATACAATAATCTGAGCGTGTGGTTCAGATCGCTTCCTGAGCTGCTTTGTCAATCCCAAGTGCCTCACGAGAAACCTGTGAGCTGCAGCGCTCCGGCGATTGCCTCCCGATTGCCTCCCACAGCACCAACACTGCCGGCCCCCTGCAGGAAGTCCATACAGGTCTCGGATAAACACTTCATCTACATCTAAGTGTCATTTAAATTGACTTAAAACAAGACTTTTTCTGACAACGTACAGCTCGTACAGGCTGAGTGCAGCAACAGAACCTCTGTCAGAGCCTTTGTACAAAACTCCAGACTGACTTACCTTTACTGAAACCAAGAACCAACAGGCCCACAACGTTAATTCGTGTTGTAAAAGTTTTGTCATGTCCACAACAGTTTGATGTGGCCCATCTGCTTTCCTCTGGAAAATCTAAGCGTTTCCACCACAGAGCATTACTTCACACCTCACTTGTTTTTATAGTCCTTTTCAACGCAAGCCTGGAACAGATTTTGTCCAGTCAGTCCGTCAAACCCAAAGGAGCAAGCAGCACTGTGGAAATGAGTCACCGCGACTGCCATGCCAACAGGAACCAGGACACAAACCTGTCTTTTGCCAGCAATAGGTCACTTGCATCTAACTGGAAACGCGTCAGCTTTTGTGCTCGTTGAAACACTGCAACTGTGCAACGAACCACGTTCAGACATCTTTCATACCGAGCAGGTTTTTTTCCTCCCAATAAAGTCTTTCTACTCTGAAAAACAGCAGCCTGCAGTGAACTGTTACTGCCTGAATGGTTGAACAGGCTGGCTTTTTTTTTTTTATCGTATTTATTGAAAGATAAGACAAAAAGGGGAAGAATAAACAATGAGCAGTACTCCTCTCAGATCACAAGTCTAAAAACATCAACTTGTGTCCAACACCTTGCAGGATGCCACCCAGCCTTCCAGGTTTCCTGGGCTCTGCATTGTCCACACCAGGCTTCCAACACTGGCTCAGCTTCATTCTCACAGAAGCAGAATCCACCAGTTTTGGTACGATTCTGACAGGTTTCCTCTCCAGTGCAGGGAGGTATGTTGAAAGCACTGCTGTGTAGCATAGTCCTACAGGGAACCATAAGGGAATCCAGAAATTCACTGTCCTTTACGATGAAGACAAAGGACCACTGTACAGGAAGCTTCCACCTCCATTCACCAATTCCAGTACTAGCACTGGGGGGATTCGTTTTTACCTCTGTGTCTTGTCAGATTAATAAACCAAGTCTAATTTTTCAAGTGTAGCAAAGCCAAGAATTTTATACCCGGAAATGCAAGACTTCTCTATCAATTAAAAAAAAAAAAAAATAAAGCATCGACCTGAATCTGCCAAAAAGAGGTTTGACCAAGCTTCCTCTGACAAGGTTTTCATTTTCCAGCATGCACCTCTGACTCATAGTGCTTCAGCTGCAGAGGAACAAATGCCTCATCCAGACAAAATAAGGCTCATATCCAACAGCACAAGTTCTCTACAGTGTTTTTAAAAACACACTCCAACAGCAGAAGCCAGTGGCACCACCCCATATCGGAGAACAGCTGTCAGTCCTTCCTGTCCCAGGGAGACAGGCGCAGCCCCAGTCGCACAGCCTCAGGCCAAGCCCCCGGATGCTCCTCTATCCTGTTGCGGATGCCAAAGGCAACGCCTGCCAGAATGGATCCCCTGGGGCACTCTGTGCCTCCAGCTCAGCACTGGCACTTTCACTGCAGACCTTCTTGGACATAACCGACTGCTACCAAGTTTTGCCTGGAGTCTCTTGTGTCACTGACTATCTTAATGTGAGCGAGAAGGTCTGCCAAAGGCTTATGTTGCAAAATATAGGATTTTAACCAGACAACCCCTCTCCCATGCACTGGGAGAATTCCTCGTCTGAACTGCAAAACACAAGGAGTTCACCACAGTGCAGTTACAGCTCGGGGCAGTGAGAGCAGCCCTTGTGCCTGCTGGCATGCCCACGGCCTGCCCTGGCCGTACCCCACTGACTAGACACGAGCCATGACAGTAGCTGACAGCCCTTCTACAACTTCTGCTCTGTTCCAAAGAAGGGCCTGTGGGGAGCAGAGGGCAGACATCAGGAAAAAGGCCAAGACTAAAGGTCGCTGCATCCTAAAACTTCTAATGCTGTTCCTCAAGTTGTGATGACTTGTCAGCTGACTTCTCCCTAGATGCTCCTCCACAGCCTCTCCTGACAGAGCTGCTCTGTCCTTCAAAGCAGGAACGCACCAAGGCCCCTGGAGAGAGACCAACTCACTGCGAACTGGGGCTCATCAGCACAGGCCTTTCCCTTCCCAAACCCCTCTTCTCTGCTGGACTCCCCAGTCCAGGAGAGGAACCGCAGCCTAAAGCTCCCTGTCCGAGCAGGAAGGGAGGGCTTAGCTACAGCTCAGCAGACCACTGGGGAAGGCAGCAGTCTGAGCATTTTGATCTGACAGATGGGAGTGTCACACCCGAGATCTCAACACCAAGGAACACCGTTTGCCGACAAGCAAGAGGTCTGCCTGGCAGTCCCGAGGAGCTCCTGCTGCCGCACCCTCCCTTACGCGGAACCTCACCGCGGCACTGTGAGCTGCTGCCTGTTTATCACGGCGCGGCGTGGGGCCTTGGGGCAGGCAGGGGCAGGGCATCTCTGCTCACAGTGCTGCTTATAGGAAACGGCAGGCACAAAAATCCAGAAGGTGACCGAAAGAAAAGAAAGAAAAACAAAACAAAACGTCTCAGTCAAGAGACCAGAAGAAACAACTGTGAAATAAACGACCAACACAAGAGAAACGGCCCAGCCTCCATTTGAACCTTTGCTGTCACCTTCCGCAAACCAAGTTTCTCTGGGTTCTTACTTACACAGGAAACCCAGATTGACTGAAAAACAACTGAAATTTCTTTGATGTTCAACCAGTGCACCTCTTCTCCTCTCAGTGGCCCTGTTTGAAGACATTCAGAGAAGCACGCTCAGTACCTTCACTCTTCACAGTCATGATTCAAAAGCGCCTGCAGTTAATCCTTTTAGAACATTTCCCACACAGAAACATTACTGCACCTCTGCAGAAGTGGGTCACAGTACTTGGAGCAGAC